TTAAGTGTGTGTCAAATCAAGATGCTCAAATCACTTGGTGAATTCCTACTAACAATATGAAATGCAACCCTATGAATTAAAAGCAACTAAAAAGGATGGAAAATAAAAACACTTTTTTTAAATTAGGGTTAACAATCAAACAAATGAGAAGGGGAAAATTATTTGAATTTATTATCTTGTTAGTAAATATCAAAGTGGAGGGTGAATTTTATTATGGTCAACAAAAATAAAATCTTTTTTTTAAGTCCTAATTATCTTTAATTATGAAGAAGTAGCTAAAGGGTAGAATTAAAAATTCTAGAAAGAAGAATTACCTACAAGCAAATCTTCAAATCCTAGTTCTCCAATCCGTAAGAATTAAAAATTCTAGAAAGAAGAATTACCTACAAGCAAATCTTCAAATCCTAGTTCTCCAATCCGTAATTTTCAAGCTCCAAGTGTTTCCTTCACAATAAACACACAAGTTAAAGAACCAAAATAATTAAAACCTACTTAAGCACCTTCCTCGGCAACGGCGCCAAAAACATGATGCGGCATAAACATGTACCAAAAATGTTGCAAGTACACAACCGTGTCAAGTTATAGTATAAAAAGTTATCGATCCCACGAGGAAGGTATTTTGTAGGAGAAAATATAAATCGGTTCTTATGTTGTATGCGTGACAAATAGGAGTGATGAGTGAATGTGATTGTGGAGAGATGGAGAGAATGATTGTGGAGAGATGGAGAGAATAAAAATGATTGTGTAAATGAAGATATTTGAGAGTGGAAGTGATAATATAAATGTGATCAACAATGCAAGAAGGAAAAAATCAAGAACAAATAAAAATCAAGAATGTAAAGTTAGCGGATTCAATTAAAGATATGGGTAATCTAGAATTGAATCCACTTCTTAGTAAAAGATGATTCCCTAAAGGGTTCTAACTTAAAGGCGAATCAAAGAAAAAAAATGAATAAAAAGAAAAACTAAACCCAAGAGGGTTCTAGCCTCAAGGTGAATAATGCAAGAAATTAAAATCTAACTACAAAATAAATTACAAAATCTAGACTACAAAATAAATTACAAGAATTAAATGCAAGAAAATAAATCTACTCTATAAGCATGAAATAAATCTAATCTATAAACATAAAATAAATCTAAGGCAAGAGGGTTTTAGCCTCTTGCCTATTTAAACAAGAAAATAAAATCTAATTACAAGCATGAAAATAAATCTAAACTAATAAGCAATAAAAGAGAAATAAGAAAAACAAACCTTCAAATTAATCTTCATCTTCATCTTCATCTTCATCATCCAACAAAGAGAAGAAGAGAAAAATTTAAAGTGGTAAAAAAATTATTTTATTAATTGTAACAAAAGTTACAAGTTGGAATGTCTTCTCAATTAAGAGTAGCCCTTCTCTCCAAAAGGAGTTACAAAAATTTTCACACCTCTAACCCCTCACTCTCTACCCCTGTTTATAGTAAACATCAGTGAAAGAGAGCCCTTGGATCAAAATCTTATCCAAAAACCATGAATTTCAGCCTTAGATGCGTAACAGAATGACGATATCGATGCGGGCATCGATGCCCAGTGTGCTGCAATTGTATTCCGCAGCTTCTTCTTCTTTTATGCTTTGGGCTTGAGCTTCTTGGCATTCCTTCTTCTTTCGGGCTTTCATGCTTGAGTTCTTCATTTAATTAGTGGGCTTTGTTGAGAGAAGAGATATTAGGCTTTTATTTTTGATTAACCTGTAATTAAAGATAAAAATAATTATTAGTGATAAATTTATTCATATAAACTAGATAATGAGGGTATAAAATTGTAATAAAATATGATTATCAGTGATCTCCTCTAGCTCTTGTGAAATTGTCTTCACAAATTTGAAACTCTTAAACCACACTTAAACCCTTAAACAAAACTTGTAAACTCTTTTAAAACTTTTCTCTTGTTTTGTAGGATATGTAAATGCAATGGGGTATTTATAACAACCCAATACCTCAGCCAAAACCCTAAGAAAATGACCAAAAACCCAAAAAAAAATAGATCTGGAAAATAGTCGTTACTGTGCAACGGTCAGAATTATAAGTCGACTTATAGTCGACTTGGTATAAGTCGACTTGATGTAAAACGTAAGTCGACTTGCCAGATGAAAATAACACACAAAAATTAGCACATAAGTCTACTTGAAAAATGGTATAAGTCGACTTAGTCTAAGTCGACTTAACAGTTCGTATAAGTCGACTTGGCAGAAAGATTTTGCATATTCCAGATAATTTCATAAGTCGACTTGTCAACTCTGATAAGTCGACTTATAAACGTGCACAGACACTGTTAATGCTGAAAATCTGATTTTAAAAGTACCTTTAAAAATAGCAAATAAATTCAGAAAAATATAAAACTTTGGAAAATGATTATAAACATGATAATAAACATGTAACAAAAGGAATTTTTAGAATTGCATTTCCATGTATAAACATTTTTTGGAATTTATTTGTAAAAACTTTATTTGTGGATAAAACCAAAATGTGTATATATATATATATATATATATATATATATATATATATATAAAAGAAACCAAAACTTATATGTGTGTAAGTGATTGAGCTTAAACTACTAACACACATAATATAAAACCTAAACTAAATTATCCAAGCAATATTGATCTTCAATAAGATTGACTTGGTAAACTTGGATGAAGCTTGAACTCGGATCTTCAACTTGAATTGCAAGTCTTCACTCCATAATTCGGCCAACCTCCATTGGATATGATCGTGAAATCTTGATTCCATCCATCCTCCAACATATTGTTTGCCTAGAATAAATACAAAACACAAATACTAGACAAACAACATTAGTTATAAATTATTTGTTAATCATCATCAAAACAAAAGGATCCAACAACAACTTGCAGACCGACCTTTTAGCACAAATGAGGGTTACAGAATACTGTTCTTGGAGATAATTAATCTCTCAAGGTGAACAGGCTCAAAAAATTATTGTCAGGGTTAAAGCTGAAGAACAAAGTAAGCAGGATCAACCTGAGCAATGAGACCAAGTCTAATCTTCCTAATCAGAAGGAGAAGATACTACGGTCACTAAAACCAATCATCTTCAATAGGATGGCGGGTCTGCTAAAAATATCACGTTAACAGTTACCTCTGATAGTCAAACTCGTCAGATAGTGACCCACTAGGCAATGTGCTCTGTCTACCCCTTTTTTTCCCCTGCACTTGTTCAAGACTAGGGGTTGGTTTATTGGATTATATGTAATAAATCTTCTAAGTTGTCATTTTCAACAAAACACCTATGTCAACTGTAAAATTATTCCCCTGCTAAGTCTTAATCAAGACTGAGAGTTGGTTACTTGGAATCCATTGGATTAAGAGTAACCAATCTTCTAAGTTGTATGTTCAACAAAACACCTCTGTCAACTATAAAATTATTCCCCTGCTAAGTCTTAATCAAGACTGGGGGTTGGTTACCTGAAATCCACTGGATTAAGAGTAATAAATCTTTCATATCATCGAGTTAACATTACACTTCTGACGATCATCATCTCTATGGAGTATGAATTCAGTTTGCATCACTCCTAATTTGTCACGTTAACAATAACACCTCAGACAAATCAACTTATCAATCCTCTTCGATAGGATGATAAGTCCTCAAAATCGTAATCTTCCCCAGCGAGACGCTAAGTCTTCAAAATCTTGTTCAAATCACAAGTACAAAATTCCTGTCACGTTAATATCACACATCTGACAAATCAACTTATCAATCCTCTTCAATAGGATGATAAGTCCACAAAGTTACTCCGATCGTAACAAATTTCTATCACGTTAATATCACACCTCTGATAAATCAACTTATCAATCCTCTTCAATAGGATAATTAGTCCACAAAGTTGCTCCGATCGTAAAAAATTCCTATCACGTTAATATCACACATCTGACAAATCAACTTATCAATCCTCTTCAATAGAATGATAAGTCCAAAAAGTTGCTCCGATCGTAACAAAACACCTCTGACAATCAACTTATTGACTCTCTTCAATAAAGCGATAGGTCCACAATCTTGTCACGTTAACATCACACCTCTGACGACCAAATCAACTTATCGACTTTGCTTTGATCCAGCATTGTTGCTCAGTTAGTTAACCCACTAAACTCCTGATTATGAGCTTTTCTCAATTTACGTGTGCGTTACTTCCCAAATTGCAGATTGCTGAATCTTTGCCGAGAATATGCTTCCTCTCTGGATTAAGTGGGGAGGAAATGATGATGTTTATTGACGCATTTCCAGAGACAGGTATCACATTTCAATCTTTCTAACTCTTAGAATCATTCTTAATATCTGATAATGCTTCATAGGTCTCTCTTCTTTTGTGGAAATATAAAAAAGGGTCAATTACACAGATACCCGGTGATGTAGCAATGTGCCACTTATTACCCCTTAAGTTTGATGCTGAACACCACTCGAGATATGTGGCAGATAATGTCACTCTTCCCCTCTCTTCCCCCACCAACAAAATAAAAATAAAAAATAAAAAAGAAGAAGAAAATCTCCGCCTCAACCCTTGCTAGAAACGGCACACTGTTCAGAAGACAGGAGGAGTGCAGGACGAGTGATGGCGTTAAGTTTAGTTCCAAGGCGTCGATTTGCCAATTTATTAAACTTAAAGTGTAACAAGTGGCATAGTAAGATAGCACAGGAAATTTGTGCACAGGAAATTTGTGCACATCTAACCCTACAAAAGAGATCACATTCAAGACATATCCTTTTGCCACCAACTCTCAAGCAATTAACCATCGACTGTACTATGAAATAAATATTGTTGGTTTGGTACTGAAACCCGTTTGAAAACATTTTTAGTTAAAAAAAGTAGAATAAGTAACTGTGAAAAATATGTTTGATTATAATCTTCTTTCTACCTGAATATTTTCATTTTGACCTTATGAAAACATGAAAACATTTTAAGCCTAGAAAAGGTTACAAAAAAAAATTATATTGCATTATAGTGTTTCGCTGTGTTTTAATGTGCAGGGTTAAAGCCTGCAGTGTTTGCAGCACTTGTTCCTAACAGCGCAAATAAACCTCTGCTTGAGGTGGCTGAAGAGATTATGGGAGACCATGAAATGATGGTAATCCTTAATGTTGTTCTATTAAATTTATCAGCTCTGATCAAATGTGAGATTGTTTCTCATACTTTTTGTTTCACTTGAATGCAGTCATCAAAACAGTCGAATTGATTTCTATCGTTCTGAAAGAACTCAAAATTTGATAGAAGATATATTACGGTCGCAGCTCCCTCTCACTCACGCAAAGTTTTCGAGTTTGATTTCTGGATTTATTTTTGCAGGTTTATTCGAAATATTAGCTTATGGGGGTGAAAAGAGTATTTATAATATATATTATTAATTTTAAAAGATACATGCGGAACTCCATTAATGGATATGTACAGACTAGTATTTAGGATTTATATTGCAATTGCATTATTATGTACTCCTTGTGCTTGGCATCCAACTTGTGTGCTTAATCGTATTCCAATGTTTGAATCCAAGTTCAGATTATGTACTCAATCATATTTGGATGTTGTTTTGATATTTCTCTTAATTGCAAAAGTCATTTTTATATTATCAAGGTTCATGTTCTTTAAAGAAAAACATCGAAGTGTTTTATTTTTTCCACACACTCTCTCCTACTCCAACCACTAAAAAAACTCAAGAATGAAAATATTATCTTATTTAATAAAGTAGAATACTCTCCTACTCCAACCACTAAAAAAACTCAAGAATGAAAATATTATCTTATTTAATAAAGTAGAATATTATCTAATCATTTCGGTTATTCTAAATGGATTAACTTATTTAACTTTTCTTCTTAAGGATGTGTTTGGCAATCTTTCAAAATTGGCTAGGTTCAAAATTGACCCAATTTTGAAAGATTTTTGATTTGGCAAACAAGAGGGTTAGATTTGGCCTGTTTCGTGGGCCAAAATATGGCTTCTAAACTAGTTTTCTTTCGGACTAGGGGATTGGTCCAAAAGAAAACTAGTTTAGCACAAGACTGAGCCAGGACTTGTACTGGTCTAGTTTTGCATAGTTTGTCAAACACACTTAAGAGATAGGATGACATTATAATATATGTCATATTATATATTTAAGAAAAGTCTCCATTTCGCTTTGTGCGTCATATCTTCGAAATACCTTTTGAAAAATTAACACATGTCTTAAGTGATGGACCTAGTTTAGCACAAGACTGAGCCAGGACTTGTACTGGTCTAGTTTTGCATAGTTTGTCAAACACACTTAAGAGATAGGATGACATTATAATATATGTCATATTATATATTTAAGAAAAGTCTCCATTTCGCTTTGTGCGTCATATCTTCGAAATACCTTTTGAAAAATTAACGCATGTCTTAAGTGATGGACCTCAGAATCCACCGCGATGCTATTTGAATCCATAAAGAACAACCTTTAAATTCACGAAGAAAATTTAATAAGAAAAAATTTATTGATAAAAGTGACCTACTTATGAAAGTTACAATCATTCTTCTTAAATAGAAAAAAAAAATAAAGTCTACTCCTAACAGCCCCCCCCACTACCCACACCCCCAACCCTACCTAAAAAACGACATTCTTTAAAACTACGTAAGAGACCCCCTAAAATAGAGGAACAAATCAGTACAAATTGAATCAAAAATGAATTTGTTTCCTAATCTAAATTGACTCTAATTTTATTACTAAAAACAAACTCAAACTATATTATTTTTGAAATTCTACTTAAATTGTGTACCGCTGATGAGATTTCGAGAATGTCAATTTGGTTGGCCCTATCTTATCAAGATAGGCATTTACACAAATAATGTTGATGTTAAGTGATCACACAGTCAATAATATCCGCGGTTGGATAGGGGTGAGGTTGATGAGGGGCCACTTCCTTTCCCAAATACCCGGTTCTTAGGTGGGTCTGTAGGCTGTCTAAAAATCACAACAGATAGTTGATCCCCCATCAAACACCAATGATGGAAGTTACAATCTGACGACTTCCAGAAGGCTATAATTTGAAGACTTTCACGTAGATCGATGAAGGTTACAATCTGACGACCTTCACAACAACCGATGAAAGCTCTAGTTCAACAGCCTTCACAATCAACATCAGGAGTTACAATCTGACAACTCTCATATTTTGAAGGAGTCAAGATGAAGATTACAAGATGACGATCTTTGCAACACTCTAGCAAAAGAGACTACAAATTGACGGTCTCTTCAAATCAAGACGCAGAGCTCACCTCTGCGTCTCAGACTCAAAACGTAGAGGTCCTCCCTGCATTACAACCTCAAAACACAGAGGTCATCCCTGTGTTATAACATCAAAATGCAGAGGTCATGTCCGCGTTTCAGAGTCAAAATGCAGAGGTCATCTCCAGCGCTCCAATTAAAAACGCAGAGTTCGCGGACTCAAAACGCAGAGTTCATCTCAGCGTCCCAACTCTGCATTTCAGATTTACAAACGCAGCGCGACCTGTGCGTTCAACCACCAAAATAAGCCCAACTCTGCGTTTCAAGTCTAAAACGCAGAGTTCGGGCCCTGAACGCTATTTTTTAGCGTTTGACTCGTTCAAATCACGAACTGAACGGTTTCAAAATTGTTTTCCCCAGGATTTGGGGAGCAATTTAAGGGGGGCAGTTACACCCATTCAGCCCCACATAGAAGCAAATTAAGATGGTGATTACACCCCTTAATCCCCTATAAATAGGAGTAAACTCAACTGAGTTCAGGCTTCTCTTGGGGGGGCTCTCATTTTGGCTCTCGGATTGATCCTATTTTCAGCAGCAAAGAAGAGATCTTTTGGCAGATCATCTTTAAGGGAGAGTGGCATTTATCTTGGGAGAGCTCAGATCATTCTTCGACAACAAGAGCTTTCTTCATCCTTGGCTTACAAACCGATTTCGGTTAAATCAACTCTTTCATAGAGTTTCAAACTCGTTCAAAGTTCTAAAACTTGCTTTGCAAGTTCTCCATAGCGTCAAATCGTGAGGAGGAGATACCGTTCCAGTGAAACAAGATGTTCGGATTGTCAACAGAGAGCAAACTCGACTCGAGCATTTGAGTGAGGCACTTCATCGCCATTGTGAAGAACCCATACTTAAACAAAGGGGAGGATTTGCATCAATTCTCTTCTCTTTTGTATTCAGGAAGTCTAAATTGTAATCAAGATTGAGAGAATACAAATCAAATATATTTCTTTCAATTTTTTTTTACTACAAATTTTCCACCAAACAGGGTCGCTGAAAAGCCTACACAAGTAGAAACACGTAAGAGGATGGGGACTTGTTCCCTCGTGATTCCTCCAACGATCCAGTCTGCTGGTGAGCTTTGAGTGAAGAAAATAAAGAACCGTGAGAGTTCTTTTTCATGTGGTATGGTTTGTAGAAGACACTGATTTCACAGAAAAAACCAGGATCTCCAATGAGGGAATAGTACCTTGTATTTATAGTAGTGCCGAAGGGGCATAACCGTCATTGTGGCCGAGCACATGATGGCGGTGAAGAAACGTGGGCTGACGGCTGCGTCAGCACTCGCTTTACAAGTGTCAGCTGGCGACTGGAGGAGAGTTCACATAGGCATTAAATGGGAAGTGATCGGAGGCATGGCGGTGCTGACGTAGTCCGATGAGTCATAAATGCTACCGGTGTCTCTTCAAATCAAGACGCAGAGCTCACCTCTGCGTCTCAGACTCAAAACGTAGAGGTCCTCCCTGCATTACAACCTCAAAACACAGAGGTCATCCCTGTGTTATAACATCAAAATGCAGAGGTCATGTCCGCGTTTCAGAGTCAAAATGCAGAGGTCATCTCCAGCGCTCCAATTAAAAACGCAGAGTTCGCGGACTCAAAACGCAGAGTTCATCTCAGCGTCCCAACTCTGCATTTCAGATTTACAAACGCAGCGCGACCTGTGCGTTCAACCACCAAAATAAGCCCAACTCTGCGTTTCAAGTCTAAAACGCAGAGTTCGGGCCCTGAACGCTATTTTTTAGCGTTTGACTCGTTCAAATCACGAACTGAACGGTTTCAAAATTGTTTTCCCCAGGATTTGGGGAGCAATTTAAGGGGGGCAGTTACACCCATTCAGCCCCACATAGAAGCAAATTAAGATGGTGATTACACCCCTTAATCCCCTATAAATAGGAGTAAACTCAACTGAGTTCAGGCTTCTCTTGGGGGGGCTCTCATTTTGGCTCTCGGATTGATCCTATTTTCAGCAGCAAAGAAGAGATCTTTTGGCAGATCATCTTTAAGGGAGAGTGGCATTTATCTTGGGAGAGCTCAGATCATTCTTCGACAACAAGAGCTTTCTTCATCCTTGGCTTACAAACCGATTTCGGTTAAATCAACTCTTTCATAGAGTTTCAAACTCGTTCAAAGTTCTAAAACTTGCTTTGCAAGTTCTCCATAGCGTCAAATCGTGAGGAGGAGATACCGTTCCAGTGAAACAAGATGTTCGGATTGTCAACAGAGAGCAAACTCGACTCGAGCATTTGAGTGAGGCACTTCATCGCCATTGTGAAGAACCCATACTTAAACAAAGGGGAGGATTTGCATCAATTCTCTTCTCTTTTGTATTCAGGAAGTCTAAATTGTAATCAAGATTGAGAGAATACAAATCAAATATATTTCTTTCAATTTTTTTTTACTACAAATTTTCCACCAAACAGGGTCGCTGAAAAGCCTACACAAGTAGAAACACGTAAGAGGATGGGGACTTGTTCCCTCGTGATTCCTCCAACGATCCAGTCTGCTGGTGAGCTTTGAGTGAAGAAAATAAAGAACCGTGAGAGTTCTTTTTCATGTGGTATGGTTTGTAGAAGACACTGATTTCACAGAAAAAACCAGGATCTCCAATGAGGGAATAGTACCTTGTATTTATAGTAGTGCCGAAGGGGCATAACCGTCATTGTGGCCGAGCACATGATGGCGGTGAAGAAACGTGGGCTGACGGCTGCGTCAGCACTCGCTTTACAAGTGTCAGCTGGCGACTGGAGGAGAGTTCACATAGGCATTAAATGGGAAGTGATCGGAGGCATGGCGGTGCTGACGTAGTCCGATGAGTCATAAATGCTACCGGTGCTAGAGGTATGATGGAGTCTGCAAAACATTAAATGCGACGCTGACACGTTGTCAGTGGGAGAGGCTCGAGGTTGAAGTTGTCTTCTAGCTTCGCCGAGAAGTAATGTCTTTCGAGTCGACCTCGCGAGGTGTCGAGTAGTTGGTTGAGTGGGCTCGTTACGAGTCGTCTTCGACAAAAGGGGGACGACAAGTACCGTCTTTCGAGTCGATGTGAGGGAATGACGATTTGACAAGTCAGCTGAGTTGTCGTCCCTGCTGATCTCCAGCCGCCAACTTGATTGGAGCATTAATGTATGAAGATGTACATCTATCCGTTGCTAGCAAAGTGTCGAACTTAGATGATTGGGAACAACATAACATATAATATGTCAGAATTTACCTTTCGGACCGGGAGATATAGTCATTTTTATCGGACAACTTAGTAATATATCTGTATCCGCGTTTGCTCGTGAAGGCTCCACTTTTCAATGATTTTGCTCTTTATGCATCCTACATAAAAAATAAAAAGAAGGGTTTTTTATTTCTAGGCCCATTTGTTTACTCCTCTTTACCTCTAAGCCCAATAACTATTCTTTGTATTCTTAAACCCAAGTTTCTTTTTGTTTTTGCCTTTAAACCCAATTTCTAAAATACTGTATATACAACACTGGTATTCATACCCAAACATGATAAAAACCCTAAAATACCCTTCAATACCCCCACTTAAACCAGACCCCCTCTCTCTCTCCTCATTTTCCTTCTTCCTCAGGTCTTCGTCTTCCTCCTTCCTCAAGGCTTTGTCTTCCTCCTCCGATCCCACCTCTCATGCCCCCTCCAAGAAATCGAAGAAGAAAGGAAGAAAGGCCCATGATTTTAGTGCTTGATGTCTTGAAAAGGCCCACGACGGATCTCGAGGCAGCCGGACACACCTCCACCCTCTCCAACGAGACACTACAATTCTTCAACGATCAACAAGATGCTTGATGATTTTGGCTTCGGGATCTCTTTCGATGACGAGGAGGAGTGATTTCGTGTGAAATCTCATTTCTATATACTCGATTAGGGTTAGGGTTAGGGTCAGGGTCGGGGTTGGGGGGTTAGGGTTAGTTCATTGATGTTCTTTTGTGCTATCCCTTTTTGTTGAACTAAATCTAATTGTAGAATTGGTTTTATCAATTTATGAATGTATCGTTTCTGTTGAACTAAATCTAATTTGTACACAATAGATTTGCAAAGCAAGAGGTGTGAAATCTGAAGAATCTGGAATTTTGTACCTGTAAATTTTGCTTATAAAGAGTTGGAGAGTATGGAGCTTGCTTTGAAGATTGTGAAAGAGAAATTGCTGGGTAGAGTTAATGGAGTCAGTTATGCTATATGTACATTTTGAAGATTTGTGCAATTTTGAAGATTTGTAACATTTTGTAAAGTCTGGAGCTTGCCTTGAATATAATATCAGTTATATTATGTACATTTTGAAGATTTGTAACATTTTTGAAAGCCTGGAGCTTGCCTTGAATATATGATCAGTTATGCTATGTTTTTTGTGAAGATTTGTAACATTTTAAAAAGTCTAGAGCTTGCCTTGAATATATGATTAGTTATGCTAAGTATATTTTGAAGATTTGTGTAATTTTGGAGTTTGATTTGTAACATATTGTTTCAGATTGTAAGTTTTTGAAAGTAGATAATGAAAGTGTTGTTAGTGCAATATCGTTATTGTTTGTGCAATTTTGGAGTTTGTAAGACTGGAATTTTGTGCAATTTTGTGAGTGCTATTTTGTGGAATTTTGTGTAATTTTATGAGTGTTATTTTGTTCTTGTCGCTACACTTACAGCATAACACGTAGACTGTACAGGATAACACGCTACACTTACAGGATAACCCGCTACACTTACAGGATAACCCGCTACACTTATAGCATAACACGCTACACTTACGGTCTAACCCGCTACACTTACAGCATAACACGCTACACTTACAGTCTAACACGCTACACTTACAGTCTAACACGCTATACTTATAGGATAACCCGTTACACTTACAGCATAACACGCTACACTTACAGGATAACACGCTACACTTACAGTATAACCCGCTACACTTACAGCATAACACGCTACACTTACAGTCTAACACGTTACACTTACAGCATAACACGCTACATTTACAGTCTAACACGCTACACTTACAGAATAACCCGCTACACTTACAGGATAGCACGCTACACTTACAGTCTAACATGCTACACTTACAGGATAACCCGCTACACTTACAGCATAACACGCTACACTTAAAGGATAACACGCTACACTTACAGCATAACCCGCTACACTTATAGGATAACACGCTACACTTACAGGATAACACGCTACACTTACAGGATAACACGCTACACTTACAGGATAACACGCTACACTTATCTGTAAATACGCTACACTTACAGAATAAGTTTGTAGAGGAAGTTTTCAAATTGTGACTGTGAATGTAGTTGTGAGTTTGTAGCATATTTCAGCTTGTGACTGTTTGTGATTGAAAATGTAGCGTGTTAAGTGTAGAGGAAGTTTTCTAACGTATCTATGATTGTGATTGTAAGTGTAGCGTGTTATCTGTAAATGTAGCGGGTTATCTGTAAGTGTAGCGTGTTACACTGCAAGTGTAACGGGTTATTTGTAAGTATAGCGGATTATCCTGTAAGTGTAGCGTGTTACACTGCAAATATAGCGGGTTATCCTGTAAGTGTAGCGGGTTAGACTTTAAGTGTAGCGGGTTAGACTGTAAGTGTAGCGTGTTATGCTGTAAGTGTAGCGGGTTAGATCGTAAGTATAGCGTGTTATGCTGTAAGTGTAGCGGGTTAGACTGTAAGGGTAGCGTGTTAGACTGTAAGTGTAGCGTGTTATGCTGTAAGTGTAGCGTGTTAACCTGTAAGTGTAGCGTGTTATCCTATAAGTGTAGCGTGTTATGCTGTAAGTGTAGCGTGTTATCCTGTAAGTGTAGCGCGTTATGCTGTAAGTGTAGCGGGTTATCCTGTAAGTGTAGCGTGTTATGCAGTAAGTGTAGCGTGATAGACTGTAAGTGTAGCGGGTTATTCTGTAAGTGTAGCGTGTTAGACTGTAAATGTAGCGTGTTATGCTGTAAGTGTAGCGTGTTAGACTGTAAGTGTAGCGTGTTATGCTGTAAGTGTAGCGGGTTTCCTGTAAGTGTAGCGGGTTATCCTGTAAGTGTAGCGTGTTATCCTGTAAGTGTAGCGTGTTATGCTGTAAGTGTAACGGATTATCCTGTAAGTGTAGGGTGTTAGACTGTAAGTGTAGCGTGTTAGACTGTAAGTGTAGCGTGTTATGCTGTAAGTGTAGCTTGTTATCCTGTAAGTGTAGCAGGTTAGACCGTAAGTGTAGCGTGTTATGCTGTAAGTGTAGCGGGTTAGACTGTAAGTGTAGCGGGTTATCCTGTAAGTGTAGCGTACAATCAAAGAGATCTGCAGTTTATCACACTTGGTTGCACTCACAAAATTGCACAAGAACAAAATAACACTCATAAAATTACACAAAATTCCACAAAATAGCACTCACAAAATTGCACAAAATTCCAGTCTTACAAACTCCAAAATTGCACAAACAATAACGATATTGCACTAACAACACTTTCATTATCTACTTTCAAAAACTTACAATCTGAAACAATATGTTACAAATCAAACTCCAAAATTACACAAATCTTCAAAATATACTTAGCATAACTAATCATATATTCAAGGCAAGCTCTAGACTTTTTAAAATGTTACAAATCTTCACAAAAAACATAGCATAACTGATCATATATTCAAGGCAAGCTCCAGGCTTTCAAAAATGTTACAAATCTTCAAAATGTACATAATATAACTGATATTATATTCAAGGCAAGCTCCAGACTTTACAAAATGTTACAAATCTTCAAAATTGCACAAATCTTCAAAATGTACATATAGCATAACTGACTCCATTAACTCTACCCAGCAATTTCTCTTTCACAATCTTCAAAGCAAGCTCCATACTCTCCAACTCTTTATAAGCAAAATTTACAGGTACAAAATTCCAGATTCTCCAGATTTCACACCTCTTGCTTTGCAAATCTATTGTGTACAAATTAGATTTAGTTCAACAGAAACGATACATTCATAAATTGATAAAACCAATTCTACAATTAGATTTAGTTCAACAAAAAGGGATAGCACAAAAGAACATCAATGAACTAACCCTAACCCCCCAACCCCGACCCCGACCCTAACCCTAATCGAGTATATAGAAATGAGATTTCACACGAAATCACTCCTCCTCGTCATCGAAAGAGATCCCGAAGCCAAAATCATCAAGCATCTTGTTGATCGTTGAAGAATTGTAGTGTCTCGTTGGAGAGGGTGGAGGTGTGTCCGGCTGCCTCGAGATCCGTCGTGGGCCTTTTCAAGACATCAAGCACTAAAATCAAGGGCCTTTCTTCCTTTCTTCTTCGATTTCTTGGAGGGGGCATGAGAGGTGGGATCGGAGGAGGAAGACAAAGCCTTGAGGAAGGAGGAAGACGAAGACCTGAGGAAGAAGGAAAATGAGGAGAGAGAGAGGGGGTCTGGTTTAAGTGGGGGGTATTGAAGGGTATTTTAGGATTTTTATCATGTTTGCGTATGAATACCAGTGTTGTATATACAGTATTTTAGAAATTGGGTTTAAAGGCAAAAACAAAAAGAAACTTGGGTTTAAGAATACAAAGAATAGTTATTGGGCTTAGAGGTAAAGAGGAGTAAACAAATGAGCCTAGAAATAAAAAACCCTAAAAAGAAACACACTCTCACACTTGCAAAACACTGCGTCAGTGCCCTCACTGACTCTCATAAAAGTCAACATCAAGGACATTTAAGGACTCACATCAAATATATCATCATCCCTTCACACGCCCGTGTACTGCACGGGCACGGGCACGGGCACGGGCATTTACTTCGGCACCAAAATAACAACCAAAACCCTAGCAGAACCCTCTCTTCACTTGACCTCCGTCTCTTGATCCTCCAAATCCGAAATGGAGCCCAGCGGACCCGGGTTCGGATCCAAATCCGGATCCACTAACAAGGAAGACAAGTGGTCGCTCCCATTCTGCACCATCGTGGCCGTGGACACGAGCGAAAGCATCAGCTACAGAGCCTGCTCCATCTGCGAGAGGACCCTCCCTGAAGACCCTTCCTCTTTCTGCTCCTTCTGCTCCAACAACTCCTCGGCAAATCCCGGGTGCAAACGCGTCTATCGGATCCTTGTAAATCCAATACCCACCTAAAAATCCTATTTCAGTGTTCCTTCTTTCTCCTGATGACAGTAATAAGGAGAAATATATGATTACCAGATGAGTTATATAGTTTCATATATTAATATGTCCCTGTAGGTTGTAGGTTGGGCGGCCTCTTTATGACCTGCCCTCCATAACAATTTTTTTTTAATTGGCTTTAAATTCGTGGCTAGTAAGATTTGAGCCTGAGTTGTGCTCTGATACAATGTGAAAGGACCTAACCAATACACTGAAACTGTAAAGTTATAGCGAGGATTGTGGATTATAGTTTATATTCTAGCACGGATGGATCCTCGAGAATTGAAATGGAGTCCAACCCTAGCGTCACCATCCATGTCTCCTCTTTGTTGGAATGTGTGTTGTTTTCGACCAGGTTTATGGTGGAGATGGAAAATAACAGTTAGGACAGAGGTGCGCAGTGCGGAATTATATCAAGTCTAACGCCACAAATCTCCAATGATAATCACAATTTATAGGAGTCTATCCATTATCATAACTTTGGAGTTTTTTTGCAGCGGTAAGGGCTTTAAGTTAGTACTAGAACAGCTGTGTTCGACCTATAAAAAGGGTGCTCAAACATGCAAAGGCATATTAGAGTAAAAAAATATAGCCCTTAACCCTCACTATAATTTTTTTTCTGCTTAGACTTATGCCAAACTTGAGAGGTTTCTACCATATCATACTTAAGAGGTAATACATGATATAATGTCATGGTATGGAGGGTTTATGTGCGATTAGCCATTTATATGTGACTCTTCATTTTCTACTCCTTAACTATTAAAGGTATTTAAAGTTTAGGGTTTTGACAATGCCTTTAATATTGTTAGAGTAACTTTCCTGTAGTGTATGTTTTATGCATATTTAAAAATTGTACATAATGGATATGAAATGACAGCCCATTTTGCTAAATAGGCTATCATGAGATAGTCATGTGATGAGGCTCATCTTGCCAATCATATCAAAATGTGTGGATGGTCTCACTACTCTTATCTATTGGTAGCTCTTGCCAATCATATCAAAATGTGTGGATGGTCTCACTACTCTTATCTATTGGTAGCTCATTTTACTAAGTAAGCCGCCACCTCATATCCATCATTCTCTGTCTCACTACTCTTATCTATTGGTAGCTCATTTTACTAAGTAAGCCGCCACCTCATATCCATCATTCTCTTAAAAATATTAAACATCCAAAAGTTCAGGATAATCAAAATTTACTTTACGAAATTAGGTGTAAGGTTGCAATTTGTTTAGCAAAACGAGCTACCTAAAAGACAAAGAATGTATTTCACAAATACATGATGATTTAAAAGATAGGTATATTTGAATCAGTGCAAAACATGAAGATTGGGGACTAATGTATTCATGTAAGAGACTATTCTCTACTACCACACTTGTCTGGTTACGCTACTTTTTTATTTACGACTTATTTTGCTAAACGAACTTTCAGCTCATACTTAATAATGTCGCGCGCCTTTGCGGAAGCCTTGCACGAACTCACAACGAACCTGTGATCACGAGTAGAAGAAAGACAAACTCTTGCACAAATCCAACCAATAAAGCCAAATCAATCCAAACACAGAGATATACGTGGTTCGGCAATTTGCCTACGTCCACGGGGAGAGGATGGGGAGATTTCACTAAATCAAGGAGAGTACAAAGGGTTACAATCACACAAATTCTCTCAAACTAACCCTCAACCAAAGATCTCACCTTGCTCACAATATCTCCCTCTCACAATGCTCAAAAGATTCCTCAATCTCTGATAAAAAACCCTCACAAATCGTTTCCCTATTTATATCAAAACAAAACCCCAATCAGACTGCAAATAGGAAACCTGCGTATGCAAAAAACCCGCTATAAGTCGACTTATCAGTGTGCACAAGTCGACTTGACAGAGAGAAAATCAACAACTGGAGAACACTTCATAAGTCGACTTAACAGACGATCGCGTCACCCGTGTCCTCTTCGGCTGCTCAGCCGACGAATTCTTCCACTTCTGCAGGCTCCATCCATTCGCGGGTGCACGCGCTCTCTCTGTAAAATCCAAAATGCTCTCTCTTTCGTTTATCGTCACTTATTTTGGTGTGTTTTGTGAGTTTCAGCCGAAAAGGCAGCAGAGGTATTAGAAGGGGAAATGTGCAGGCTTACACTGTCGAAGCCAAAGAGCACTAATGCTCAGCATCTCCGTGCTGCTTCCGTTGTTCCCTTGCACACTGGATTTCGCCCTGTGATCGCTACTTTGAAGCAAATGTATGGGATCGAGACTTGTTCCAGCGGCATGAAAAAAGAAAAATAATATGTGATTGTTGTGTGCAATCTGATGTTTGACAAACTTCTGCCTTACTTGATCGATCGTTTTGTTTAGATTACAGGATTTGTCAATTGCTTGCAATCAGTTGTCGATTCCTTGTGGCTTCAAATGAGCAATGCCTCAGAAATGATCTCTTCAACAAACCGCAACGCTTGGTTGGTATAAGATAGCATCGAGTAATTACTGATGGAGAAGAGCAATTAATTTATCAACTAATTGTTTATTTGTATTTTTATTGATTCACATCACATTGTCCAGAGACACAGGCTAAGTATCCTTGACTCCTCTCTCGCTTGTAGGAATTTTGAGTCCTAACACTTGTATCAAGCTATTTCCTTTGATGCAACAAAGGAGAATAAGGAAAATCGCCCACATCCAAGTTCAAGTTTGATTTCAAATTAGCACCATGTGTAGCTACAAGAATAATACCTAAACATTAAATAAAACGGCCAAGCACTCATGTAATACATGCAAGATTCCTCAACATCACCATTCAATAATATCTTATCTAAAGGATTCGGCAACGTCCTTCATAAGGCCCGGGTTATCATTGCAGAAGGCTACAAACTCGTTATAATCGATATATCCATTGTTGTCGGTGTCGAGCTCGTCATGCTCTGCACCACAACCACATCGGCTGATGTTGAGCCGAGGGCACGCAGAGTTTCTCCGAGCTCTGTCGAGGATATTTTGCCATCGCCGTTGATGTCAGAACGCTTGAAAATCCTCTGCATATCTTCTTCTGAGATTCCATTCTCCATGCTTTTGCTAATAGAAGCAACGAGAAAAGAAAAAGGAAATAACAGGACAGAGGGAGGGGCCTTGTACAAGGAGAGAGTACTGGAGAGTTTGTAAGCTTTGTGGGGTTGAGCGTTGGACGCGGGTGTTCTCTTTTGAAACCACCACTAGAAAATAAATTGATTAAAAATAGTACTTTTCCAAATGGGTATTTCATTTATTGGTCTATTACATACTTCATAATTTGAATTTAGTCCAAAATCATTAAAATTGCTATCTAGCCTCCAATCTCTAGTATATATTTCAAATTAGTCAATGCAGTTATCTGCTATGTGATTTAGAAAAAAGTATCTAGCAGGGATGACTCATGGCATTAAATGTGCATCTAAAGGATATCAATCATTGGATCATTGGACTTCATGATTCGTGCATCGATTCAAGGATTGATACCATTTGGATGCACATTAATATCATGGTCGTCTTTACTAGATACTTTCTTATAATTTGGGAAGTTGCTAGTGGATAAAAAAAATTTGCTAGTGGTAACACATCCTATCCCAAATTTGGTCAAAAAGAGCATGTTTATGCACAAAAATAGCTATGAAGTAGCTAGAGTACAGAAAGTAGATGTTACTTCCACTTCCAAGTAAAAAACTATATTTCCGGCTAGTGGTTGAAGAAGATCTCTCATCTAGTTAACAGGCTCTTTGGAGGTTCATTCTTTATCATCCTCCACATTGGAGGATGACTCGATAACTGTGCTAAACACATACATGTTTATTAATTCATCTCGTTATATACGGTATAAAACAGTGCAAAAGTAAACACTTGTTATTTTAGTTTTGGCATACAAATTTTTGCTCACCTTTTCTTTGGAGAGGTCTACCTAATTCTTTGATTCATGATTGCGTTTATCAACATTTTTTATGTACATCTATGATAATGGAAGTTGGAAATATACCACTAACAGTCTGTAATTGATTTGCTATAATATAATTCTACTTCTCAGGAAAATTTGTTCCTGGTATATTAATCACATAGCTAAAATATAATGTGACAATGCGAAGGCTTATATCTTGTTTCATATGCAATAATAATTTTTTGATATGCCACGGCATAAATGTACATTCACACCATTAAGAAATGAAGAAAAAAATTTAGTTTATATATGTGTCAAAATGTTATAGTGAACAAGGGCTTTCCATCCCTCGCCTAAACATGCGCTTCGGCAGAATGATATAATCATATAAACAGCATATATGCAAATATACAACTGTCGAAGCTTGAATCTTCTATGATAATCATACATTAGTTACAATATCAGAATACAACAAAACCTCGAGGCAAGGTTCGAATCGCCACCAATTAACAATATCATCAGAGAACAGACTACGACCTTACTTTAGCTAGCCGTGCTCTGATCTCATCTAGTTCTCCCTCATCATCAACTCCCTCTGCAATGGCTTCTGACTGCAACATATAACCCATATTTTCTTTTAGCTCTTTGCGGTACAGGATAATTGCAGATACACACCTTGTACTATGAGCGTGTAGCCACTTGTGCCTCTAAGATATTTTATTATTACTTACACCCTGAACTCAAAACTCTGGACGATGTTATTTTCCAAGTTAGCTTATAAGATGATAAATTATCCTATACTCTCGGTTTTAGGTTAAAAAGAACAAAAAACGAACACAAAATTGACCTCAAATTTGAGACTAAAGAAGTAATGGCGTCTAAGATTAGGGGGTTGTAAGTGCAATTTTTAAAAAAATAACAATTAGGGATAGTAATTAGAACATGTATAGCACAAGGGGTGTACCAGCAACCTCGCACGAATGTTATGAAAGAAAAAAAGAAAAGAGAGAGCTTAGCAATTATATCAAAATACCTCTGCTGCAGTTGTTTGGCTTGTTGAAGGTTGCTTTATTCTCTCCTTTCGTGCAGCATCCGGAAGCTGTGACGCAGTCTCGCCTGCTATTGCTGCAAGAACTTTTTCGACCTCTTCTTCTGTTTCTTCCTCCATGTCCTCAGAGTCCAAAGCTGAATCAACGGCATCATTCACCATCTCTTCGATCACCCCTGCCTGTAAATAGGACCAAGAAGTTGAGAATACAAGTGCATGTGTCACACTTTGACCACATGTTGACAAAAAAATTTTAAGAAAATGGGTATAAGGTAGCAGCTCATTTTGTCAAATAAGCTGCCAAGAAATGCATTGGTGCCTTGGTGGTGAGGCGCACCCTGCTAATCAAATTGAAGCATGTGAGTCTCGCCAATTCCATCTCTTGACGGATCATAACCCACACCCTCTTTACAATGGACCTCTTAGCTATGCAATGTCCTAATTCTACATTTCATATTTGTCGAGAAATATCTTAATAAGTGTTTTGTAGCAATTGATTAATGTGTTTGATCCTGTATAGATTTGGTGGACTAATATAACCAAAATGCCTGTTCATCTTTCACGCCCTTTGCCAATAACCCGGCCTCAAGCTAAAAATAAATGCACCACTCAAATTAGACCTTTTTGCCATTAGCTCTTATCCGCATCAGCAGCCATTAACAGAATGTACATTTTCATGTAAGGGGCCTGTGATCTTTAACCGTCTCTTCTCGATATCCCAATTATTCTTTCAAATCCCAATCTTCCAGATCTCTGTTTTTGAATGGGCTGTTTGGTGTTTGGATTTGTATTTTAAATTTATGACAACATAAAAAAAATCCAAGAAATCATCAAGAATCCAAATTTTTAAGTTTGTGTTCGGTTTGTAGTGGAAAGTTGGTTTTGAAAAGAGACCGAGAATTATTGTTCGTTCAATCATTTATTGGTGCTCTTGCAGGCTCAGATGCTTCTCTGATCTTAGATCTTTGTTCAATCATCAAAGAATACTTGTTTGTTCGGAAAGAGAATCTAAGAATCCAAGAAATCATCTAAGAATTCTTTGTTCAATCATTTATAGATCAAAACTGATTGAACTCTTGATTAGAGGTGGAATATGCATTTTCTTTTGAAGCTTTTGGGCATTCACTGAGATCATCAGTTAAATTCCCAACTTGATATATCTACACATATGACAAATGAGTTGATACCGCTTATGATCAAAGTAGAAATTTCTTCTTGCGCAACTTGCGAGTTCTAAGCAAGTATGCAACATACATCAAGGTGAAAGTCAACTGATAACCTGGAAGCTCAAAGAAAACTTGTTTCTACTCCAAAAAAAAACTAAGAGGAGCAGGAAAAGGTTCTTGGAACAAATGGAGTAATACCAAGTGCTGCGACTAACTTGGGATGACCTCATAGGTACACTAATGGAACTGTTAGGATACATCCCAATAAGAACGCCTCTAACGGAGACGCAATACACAAAATAAAGGCACAAGATCAACCAGAGTACTCACAGATATACGTGGCTCACTCATTCGGAGCTACCCCATGGTGCAACGACGACGCCAAATTCTTTTATATCCCAAAAGAATAGATCAAAGAGAAAACCCTCTCTTGATCAGATACACTCCAAGAACTCTCACAATCTCTCTCTGTGTTATTTCTCTTACTCTTCTATGAGAGGAGTTGTTTCTGAGATTTCCTTAAGAGTTTAGGACCCTATTTATAGTGTTTGGGAAATACTATGCACAAATAAAATATTATTGGTGGGACCCGCTACTAATAATATTTTAGTTGGTGGGACCCGCCACCACTTTAATTTGTCAAACTTTGCAGGCTCCTTTCGGCCACCGATTGCATTTCTCAAAAAATGTAAGGCGGGGCGGCTGGCTAAGTCAAACAAGGCTGCAGGCAACAATTTCCCACTTGAAGATTTGATTGAGTATCAATCATATCTTCACACCCTTCTTGGTTGCATCATCCGGATGTCTTGTATCTTTAGCGTCTTGCACGACCTTCAACATTCTCAACGGAGGCCATATGAGGCTGCACACAGCCTCACCTTCTCGAGTGGAACTTATGAGGCTGCACACAGCCTCACCTTCTCGAGCGGAACTGGCTTGGTCAGCATATCGGCTGGATTGTACCTCGTATCAATCTTCACAAGCTTGAACTCGTTCTTGCTTTGCCATCTCCGTATGGTATGGTGCTTCACGTCAACATGCTTGGTTCGAGCATGGAATGCGTCGTTCTCTGACAAGTGAATGGCACTCTGACTGTCGCAGTGGATGAAGTATTTCTTAAAGCTTACTCCAAGCTCGAGAAGAAAAGCCTTCAACCATAGCAACTCCTTTGCTGCCTCTGCTGCAGACACGTACTCAGCTTCGGTTATCGACAAAGCCACAGTATCCTGTAACTTGGATCTCTA